TAAATCGTCCAGAGTGCATCGGGGAATACCGAAATCCACTAATAAATTATCCAATATAAACAATAACTCGAACCAATTGTAAGTTATTGAGAGAAAAAACGGAAAGGGTAACATGAATTTTTATTATGTAAGTTATAGAATCTTACATGGATCAAATTCGAACTTCTCTATCTTATTTGGAGAGACATCAAGGACTAATCCGGGCCCTGTTTTAAATTTTCAAGAAAAATCTGAGTATAGTTACATGAGAATGAAAAGGCATAAGCTATATAGTTAACAATTTTATGAAGAAAAAATCAAAATGGAGCTCGAATTTTTCTATGTTTGCAGAAACAATATGTTACAGTGAAGATAAAAAGGGATGTTATCTAATTTTACCGAGTGGACTCATTTCGTCCAGTCCCTCTGAGTGAACAATCAGTGCTCTTTTCATGCCGAATCTTTGAAGTGCTTTTGCCATTTTATGCACCTAGCAATGGAAAATAAATAAATAGGATTCACCATTACTTTTTCGTGTTCTACCACATTTAGAAGCAGAAAATAACAAAAAAGTATGATGAAATTCAAAAGAAAGCTTCGAATTCGCATAAATAAAATGATACAACCCCACAATTTCGCAAAGTATATAACTCACCAATTCTTCCTTGTACACACCAACAACGGCATACGAGACACTAGCTGGGTTCAACATGGGGCCTAAGATATTAAACACAGTCTTCACTTTGAGCTTTTTCCTGATAGGTCTAACGATTTGCATTGCCGAGTGATAAACTGGAGCCATCATAAAGCCGATCCCTACTTCATTGACACACCTAGCAACCCCCTAAACATAATAAAATAGGCCTAATAAACGAGTGGCTGAAGATAGGCAAGGTATTGTTTAGGTTCATCAGTTAGCATCTTTTTATGTATCCCCTCTCTCATTAACAAAATTATATGAAATTATCAGCACAATATCACATTCTTCAGTACCCTAAAAAAAAAAAACTTGGCACAGAAAAATTCTGATAGAAATAAGCCGCAAAACACATTAAGAAAGTTAATCTCTAACTATATTCACTCAAAAACAGAATGAAAGCCTCAAAGGTAGGTCTTGCGCCGAATAAATTCAGATCGAGATGTTGCAAAAGTTTGAACCATTCTAAATGGATTGTCCAGTTCCAAGTAGATCATTGAATTCATTTTATGCCATTTGGTATAAAGGTCAATGTTGGGGCAGCCCAAATGCTCAAATTGGACATTTAAGAGTAAGGTCACAGGATGTTTTCATGGGGTCCATGTTACCCATTTCTCTTATCAGAACATGGATGATTGCATGTTCAATGGCACTATAATGTGTGTGCATTTATGAGAAGTTTTATTATGCCAGTTTAATAAGTCCAAAGAAAGAAAAAAGTCATACATATAACTATATGTAGCACATACCTCAGGTTCCAAACTAATTTCAACTCCCAAAGCTTCAAGTACGTCGGCACTACCACACGCAGAAGAGCTAGACCGATTACCTTGCTGCAATGCAATTGTCGATTTCAAACCTCCAACTCATTTAAAATAATTTAAAAAAAAAAAAGAAGAAAAGAGAGAGAAACATGAATGAAGAATAAGCATTGCAAAAGAAAACACCATTTTCTTCCCAAAATTATTCCTTTTTTTTTTCAAATGCTTGCAAATTATTCGGAGTAATATGGATATGACATTTAGATACCATACCTTAGCAACTTTGGCTCCACAAGCTGCAGCAAGAATCGAGGCCCCGGTTGAGATATTTACAGTATTTGCTCCATCACCGCCAGTCCCAACAATGTCCACTGCATCAACAAGTCCCTCCACTTTCTTGCAGTGTTTTACCATACCTCTTGCTAGCCCAACTACCTATTAAAGACTTTGTGGGTCAGTATTTATACAATTATATCATTGTGTGTTCTACTTCAGATTAAAATGAGACACTTTTCACTGTCATAATGACTTCAGTTTTTTCCTTATACATTCATTACTGCATACTCTCTAACTTAAAACTATACTGCAAGTGCCAACTGTAACAATTTAATTACATCTGGGCAAGCTGGGTGAGATAAGACAAAAACATCGGTATGTATTATCTCTCGTAATATGTTCTGTTGTTCATCATCAAATTATGAAGACATTATTATATGTTTAATGATCTAAAAGAATTTCCCTTTTGAGTCAACATAGTGTTCCATTACAGCCAATCACTTAGATCCTACTCTCAAACAAAAGATGAACCTTTTAAGAATATAAGATTTAAACAACACATATGTGAAAACAGGGAAAGAAAAAAAACACTTACTTCTTCATAGGTTTCTCCTTTAGCTCTCAAAAGCACCAAAAATGCGCTAATCAAAGCCTCATCAGCACTGTCCAACAAGAAATCAAGAGAGGCCTCAGCTTCATCTTCAGACAAATCCACCCCGCTTATTAATGTCTCTATCAACTACATCCCACCACAAAAATAATTGAAAAACTAACCCCAAAAAAAAAAAAAAAATCAAACAAAAAATAGATAATCAAGAATCTCTTTGTGTCTTTTAACCTGGCTGAAGGAGGAGTGTACTGGAGACACATGGGTTCTTGAATTTTGCACAGCAAAAGGCAAAAAGGTCGAAACGTTTAGTCTGATTAACTTGTATCTCGGCAAAAAACAGCGATAATCAACGGCGGGTAAATACTGAACCCGAGGCCAACAAAGAGAAAGTGGGTTCTGCAAAAAAACAGACATTTTTTTTTCTTGTTGAGAGGAGGTGGAGATGGAAATTATTTAGGGTTCTAAAGGGCACAGTGGTATTTAAAGGCTAATTATTTTAGATTAGTGTTTAATTAGTTGATTGAAAATTTCAAGTAGATTATTTGAGCAATATATTTTAAGAAAAAAGAAGGTGAAATATTCAAAATCATATCATAAATACATAATGCAGATTGACATCTTGTGAATTGATTTATTTTGATTGAGAAAATTAGAATACATATAGTTAATTATTCTTCTTTATATAAAAATAAACACTAGAACGGTCGGTAATTTAACACCATTGCAAATGCACAAGCTCGAAGTGCAAGTGGTTATTCCTCTTCCAAAAATAACTGATAAATAAAATCAAGGCAGATTGAAATACAGGATTTTGAGAGCAAAACACCTACCTGCTGCTGAGTCCAAAACTTTGATGACATCGACATGATTGATGAAAAAACTTGTATGTGCTTCTGTAATGAAAAATCTACGGAACAATACACGCAAGGAAGAAAGAAACCTGCACCACCCAAATCAATTGAGATGAAAAGTGGGATTAAAGACAGCCCCAAAATCACTGAATTCAGACAAAAACCCTAACTTTTTGAAATATGGTGATGCCGGCAAATAAAGGTACGTTACGTACCCCCGGATAGCGAACAACAATAATAAAGAAACAACAATTTCAGAATTGTAATAATTACATAGGAATCTGCATAACCAAACACAAGATAGATAAGGCAAGAGACAAGAGAACCTGATTGATTAATTGATTGCTGCGATCAAGTGTTTTGTTGTTCTTCGAGTAGGGTAGGGTTCCCAGGAACAAGAAATAAAAGAAAACCCCAAATTTTTTTATATTATATAAATTAAGATAAAGGAATTATTAATAATAATAATAATTTAATTTAGTAGGTCTTTTTTCGATTTTTTCCACCCAAATTTGTAATTATTTCAATCCATTTTTTGACTTTTTTTTTTTTTTTTAAAAACGAAAACTTTGTTTTATAATTATAAATAGTTATAGTTATATATGAAATTCATTAATTCAAAATAACATTACATAATATTTTTGTATATATTTTTAATGTGTTTAAAATATGAATATTAATAAATAATATAACATTGGTGTATACAATAACTTCAGACATCAAATACCTTACAAAAACAAGCTATGTAAAATTAATAGCTCGAAGAAAGTAATAATATTCATAACGTGTATTTTTGTGAATTAGTAAATAATAAGTTAATTAATAATTTTCAAATTCCATAATTAAAAAAAAAATCTATGAATATTTAAAATTAGTAATACTTCATACTATATTCTGGTTGCCAAACATATAAAATTTCACTCATCAGACAGCATCCAACAAACACAATGGAGAAAACACAAGTTGACCAAAAAAAAAAAAGAATAACAAAAGGTCAAGCAATAAAATGCCTGGGCAATAATAAGATCACAACATCAAAAAAACTAGAGAAAAAAACAGATACTCTGAAACTGTCCTTGCAATCAGAAATAGATACTAAGATGCAGTAAACTTAACATTAATCCTGGCCTCGCATAGATTTAACTCAAAACCATTACACCTGAGCAGTGCCCTCGGTAAATTTAGGGTCCTCACATCTGTACTTCCCGTCAGGCCCGATTCCAAATCCCCTTGGATCTGCAAATACATTCTCTAGCAGCTGACTGCGGGCAGGAACTGGGCTTTTATCGGCAAACTCCACAGATTCTTCAACAACTTCTTCAATCTTCTTTTCAATGGCCTTCAACTCGGCTTCACTTGCCAATTTGTTTTCAATAATGTATTTCTTTAATGCAGTGATGGGGTCTCTTGCAGCGTAGTGAGCCTTCTCAGCTGTAAAAAGTAAAAAAAAAAAATACAATTATAACATGGGCTTCTGAATTTTTACATGGCTGACTTACATAATCTACATCTAATGGTTAGACGAATAACAGAAACATCGAGTTCCTTTTTCGAAATTACAGGTACCCCTTAGCTATTACAAGCATCCATCCAAGAATTCAGGCACTGTGCTTTTTTTGAATTCATTTGTTAGTAGATGCAAATGCCAAGTGGGTAATGGCGATTTTACCAGATGACAACACTTTTTCTCCTTTCCCAAGAACATGTAAATAAGTAAGCATCGGCAGACCTTATTTCAATATCAAGAGGGGTGTTCTCAAAAGATTTGGATAAATGCTGCAAATACAAATAATGGCCACTTTCTGCATCTATGCTACTACAAGGTACCCAGAACACACACTGTCCCAAGAGGGCTTTTCATGTGAAATTACATATTATTATTCATAATGAATTATCACAATTCACAGCGACAATTGCAAAAACCTTCTCACTGGATTTAGTCTAATCACAAAGAAACCCAGTTATGTATGTACCAAGATTACAAAGCCCTGTATTTTACCAAACAAGTACCCACCCAATTGCTAAAATGGAAAAAAACATGGTATTAACAGTTTGAAATTTAACCGATTTAAAAAATAAAATATAATAATAATAATAATAATAATTATTATTATTATTATTATTATTATTATTATTATTATTATTATTATTTTTATTATGCAATACTCAAGTCAGGTTTCATAGTTAGACCTAATCCACAAACAAAACAAAAAAAGAACATTAGACGGGTCATATTCAACATCGATGAAAATTTAATACTTCAGCTGACAGAATAAGGACACAATTAACAAAAGAATGAAAAAATGTGACTCATAATAATGCTCACCAGGGTCACGCAACTCATCAGGATCAGCCAAAGAGTGTCCCCTAAACCTGTAAGTCTCACACTCGACCAAAGTCGGTCCTTCGCCCCTTCTGGCCCGCCCAATAGCCTCCTTCGCGACCTCCCTAACCTTCAACACATCCATACCATCGACATGAACCCCCGGCATCCCAAACGCGGGACCCTTTTTCCAAATTTGAGGGTCCGAGGTTGCTCTCAAATGGGACATCCCAATAGCCCACAAATTATTCTCAACAACAAACACGATCGGAAGCTTCCAAAGCGCGGCCATGTTCAGACACTCAAAAAACTGTCCATTGTTACAAGTTCCATCCCCGAAAAAGGCCACACTCACCTCATCACAATCCTCCTTTAGAACTTCTCTCTTATATTTGCTAGTGAAAGCAGCACCAGTAGCTACTGGTATGCCTTCGCCAATAAAAGCAAAGCCGCCAAGAACATTGTGCTCTTTAGAGAACATGTGCATCGAGCCACCTTGGCCCCTGCAGCAGCCAGTGGTCTTGCCAAAAAGCTCGCTCATGACCTGGCGAGCTGGCACGCCTTTGCTCAAAGCGTGGACATGGTCGCGGTAAGTGCTTACGACATAGTCTTCTCTTTTCAGTAGTTTGATGAAGCCGGTTGAGACAGCTTCTTGTCCGTTGTATAAGTGAACGAATCCAAACATCTTGCCTCTGTAGTACATCTGGGCACACATGTCCTCAAAGGCTCGACCGAGAACCATGTCCTCATACAGCACCAAGCCCTCTTCTTTGGTGATCAACTGCATTCAGAAACATTTCAATGTATACCTTTCTGAGTAAAGCCATCCATTTTGTAATCTTCATAAGATAAATGCAGCAAATATAATTAAAAACACAGGCACAGAATTGACCTAATTAAATAATCTCCAGAATCTAACAGACGAGAACAAGCTCATCAATGAGCAACAACTGAACAATGAAATCTGAGCAGAGATGCGCGCAGACACAAGAGAAAGATAACTGGAAAAATAAACGAAATTACAAAATTTCAATCACCATATTGGAAACAGAAGAGCTGGACTTGAGCTTCTTTTCCTTGACAACATCCGAGGAGACTGCAGCGACGGAGGCGGATCGGCGGCCGACAGGCGGAACTGCCTTCTTAACAGGAAAAATCTTCTTGCTTAGAGATTTGGACCCCAGAAAAGAGGAGGGTCCCAATTTTTTGCAGCAAGAATCAGACTTTTCGGCAGATCTGATCGAGAGAGGATTGTGGACGATTCTGGGAGTCGCTGAACACGCCATTGGCGCTCCGAAAAGATTGATTGATTACAAACAAATAAAAATTAGAGTAAGTAAAAAAAAAAAGCCCAAATGGGGTCTCAGGGAGAGCGAGAGAGGAATGCAGGAGACAGGGAATTTGTGAATGAATCAATGGAAGAAAAAGGGCTAATTAATAAGATGGTGGAAATTGGGGAAGGGGCGGAGATTACAAGGGTGAGTGTTGTTGGTTCTATAGGTTGGAATAACCGTCTCTTTGTGCGTGTGTGTGTGTGTGTGTGTGTGTGTTTTTCTTGTGAACTGGAATTTTCGTTAATTTTTATGATGAGTTTTTTGCTCTACGAATATGATACTATTTTTTGGGCATTTCTAATAATAATAATAATTACTGTAAATCAGTAAACGTGAAGAAAAATACTACTTATTATGCTTCATTAAGTTCGATTTTTCAGTTGATTGCAGGGATTGTGAACTCAACCATTCTTTCCTCCCATTGATGACAACGGCAAAAGATAGGTGACAAGTAGTTGGTTTATTTTCTACTTACTAAGAACTTTGTAAAAGGTTCAAGTAGGAAAACTACTAAATTGGCATCCAAATAGCAACCAAAATTGCCTATATAGTACAGGCTCATTTTGAGATTTGATACCTTAGTAGGCCAATACAATTTACAAGTTATTGGACTTGATTTTGAGATACAACAGTGAACAATCAAAACAGGACAATTTTATACATTAAACCAAGTTTAACCCAAATTAACTTGTATACGTGACGAGTGAACCTAGTTACAAGTTTTACAAAGCTACCACACTTGGTGAGATTAATATTCCATTAATTAATTACATGGAGAGCAAAAACAAAACGTTTCCCTTGAACATCAAAGCTAGGATGTGTAGGCTAATGATTTCTTCACTATGCCCTCAAATTACAAGATCTTAACAAATTACAAAACGTGAGATACATTATAAATCTTACCTAATTTCATTCGGCCAGCAGTAACAGGATAAAAAACTAATGGTTATATCATCAACCACAACCACATTACAGCAAATTGGAATCAAATACGATAATAGAATGGGTTTTGTCGCAACATCTGATTTCCTTCATCTAACACAAACACATCCCGTCACGGTGTGCCCTAAAAACCTGTGGCCGGCTCAATCACGTGCCACCAGTCATAACAATGAAGAACAGCTCTACTTCAGCTACTTGAAAATATAAAATCATGAATATCTCAGCTACAGAATACCCGACTGATTACATATACCAAATCAAGCAAACACAATTGAGTTCTGCAGGTAGAATGGGCTAACCCTAAAACTCAAACCATCTCTTGATCACTCCCATCCTGAGTCCACATGGGAAGGGTACCCACTCTGCCGCTCGCCTCGTCTAGGCTGACCCGAGCCCCTCTCTCTGTGTTTTTGGTAGGTACTATCAGCTCCATCGACCGGCACATCAACTTTTTCAGGTCTGTTATTACCCTTAAAAGGACCAACTGGCTGGTATTCGTAGTGTGTGTTGTGCCTCTGTCTATTGTCCCGGAAAGAAGGTGTATTATGTGGCCTGTTATCATGCCCCGAAATCCATTCTCCACGAGCATTATTGTTATCATGGCCCCTGATCGAACGATTGTTGTTATGTCTACCATTCCTCCTTGATCCAGACCCAAAATTACGCTCAACAGGAACATTTTCATTACCCGCAGCAAGAGGTAGTGGTTCACGAGGGCCCATTGGATCTTGGTTTGGCGAATAGGGTCGTCCTTTCGCCTTCTTATGGGACTGTTGACGGTGGCCTACACCTGTTGATACTTCAACTTTACTTGCGGGATTAACAGGTTGACCTGGCTGGGTTTGGTTGGAGTTGCCGCTTTGTTCCTTGGGCTGAGAATGCTGCTCCTTTTTGGAAAACCTGTTGATTTCGGTGATCAAGGACTGGTTATTTGCTGCATTCACGGTCGGCTTAGGTTGCCAACGAGATGATGCCCGATTCTCTTTTGAACCAATAGTTCTGTCTGTCTGGTTCGCATCTACTTCACCACTAAAAGTTATCTCAGGATCAGTATTATTTCCAATGATTATTGCAGGGCCCCTAGCCACATTTCTCTTTCCTCTGCTTGTACCTGAAGTTCTAGTTTCAGCATTTGCTGAATCTATCTCACCTTTGACAGATTGACCGATCTCCTTAGGTTCTTGAATTTCCTTAACTGGATCATATGTTGAAGACGGCCCAATATGTCCACCCTTCATATGAGATGAATCAGTCGGACCCCGTTGTTTCCAAGTCCCATGATCCTTCTTATGCTTGTTGTGGTTGACACCCCCCTCGTTAACCTCTCCATTTGACCCATCTTTTAATCGAGCGAAGGCAATAGAAGGTGGAATATTCGGGACACTTCCTTGCTGGGCGAGCTCCTTCGCCACAGGCTTCGGAACATATCTCTCCATTTCAGCCCTCTTGCCCTTCGAATTATTCTGTGTCATATGATTATTACCGTTTGTAGGGTCAGCTGATTCCTGTACAGAATCTGAACTTGCTTCAGCAGAACCCTTGGCAGCTTTGTTCTGTGGGCGAACAGGGGCCCACACAGCATCACATCCATGAGGCTTGTTATTAGGCTGTTGTTGATTTCTTGGCTGCCTTCGGGAGGAGTGAGGTCTCCACTGGCAGGATATCCTGTTATGGGATTCTTCATTTGGTAAAGAGGAGCTTGAACGCTCCTGAGCTTCAACAGCTTTATCAGGCTCAGTAGATTTCGAAATTAAGGAATCCGAGTTTGACAAAGAACCTTTAGTCTCGACTTTCTTAGACTCCTTTCCAGGAATAACATTAGCCTCTACTGGTGGTAATGGAGCCCCATCCAGTTTCTGCTTATTTTTGCCACTCCTATTATTTTTCCTTCTTTGAGGCATGGATGGCTCAGCTACAGACTCCTCCGTGTTAGGCATATTTGACTCGCTCGATTTAATTTCACTTGGGTGCTCATCGGGTTTAATATCATTAGTAGCCACATGAATATGGTCTTCTGGGGCCTTCATTGCAACGTTAGAGACAGGTTTCCCGGCAAAGCTCTTCCGCAATGAATGCTTTTGCTTAAAACTCGTTACCTTGTTCCTAGAAATGCCTCCATCATTAAATTGAGGTGAGTCTTTCGGAACACTGACATCACAAGCATCTTCATGCATGGGAAAAGTAGTAACATCCGACTCCACAGGCGAAGTCCTGGACATTTCAACAGTGGATTCTTTAGCCTGATTTGAATTGTTAACATCGTCCATGATCACTTCACAAGCAGCGCAGGATTCATCTTGTTCCCCCAGCAGGTTGTCATTAATGGCCTTCTGAACTTTATTGGATGTTTCAGTTTCAGTTTCAGTTCCAGCTTCATCAG